ACGTACTCGTTGCCGACCTTGACCCTGGGGTAGCAGAGGGCTTTGAGTAGGTCAGCAGAGTTCAGGCTCTGGAGATAGGCTGCCTTGTCAGCAACTGCAGAGACAAAATTCAGGCACCCTGTGTGACCTACTGTGGGTCCCACAATTCATGGGGGCAGAGTGATGAGTGAGCCATTCTATAGAAAATCTGTATGGGGGTGAATTTACATACGTTCATCAGAAGCTCAACTATAAAGAAAACATGAATTTGGAATGATCTTGTCTGTATTACCTTCGGTGCCATCTGGCTCAGCCTGCTCCTCACGCTGCTTCTGCTTGAACTTCATGTTCCCATAATGCATCACCGCACCTGTGAGCTTGTAGATGGAGACTCTTTCATCAGAGGTGAAGCCCAGGATGTCAATAGCACTCTGCCAGGAAAGATGAGAGGACAAAGGTTAGGGCAGAAGACACTAACTTATTCAGGAGAATTTATAACTTATCCTTAACCACACCTATAGAGGAATGTTATTGTCATTTTATACATAACGGATTAAAAAAAAACTGTATATATGACTTACATCCGTGGCCATCAGCTCTTCCTGGTCATCAATGCTGGGGACTGTGATCTCCCCTTGACTGACGAAGGCATAGTCATATGGGTTGGTGGTGATCAGGAGCATTTCTGGGTACATAGAATTCAGGGTATATGTTTTCCATCAGAAGTTGTTAATAAAATGATTAACTTCTAGCTTATAAATCTAAGCTCCTTCTTACCAATTAGGTCTGGCTTCTTGTTAGACATGATTTGATAGAAAATGTGATAGCTTCTTTCCGCCTTCAGCTGGAAAGTAACTCTAGACTTCTCCAGAAGATCTGCAATGAAAAGTAGACACTGGTCAGGAGGAAAAATTGCAAAGTTCCTGAAGTGATTTTGGAATTTGGGATAATTAACTAAAAAATCTCCCTGGCCTGTTGTGATTTCAGCTGAGTGTTGTGCCTCTACAACATAGGCTACATATTGTGCCTCTACAAACACCATCACAGATGCTCTTACCACCTCCAGAAAGAGACTAAAGCATGCCTGGCCCAAGACATAGACATTTCTCATGCAGAAGATCATTTGGGATATAATTGATTCTGGAGAACCCCTTCTTCCTTAGGGTCTTTTCTCACTTTATAATAGAGGCACCACTGAGAGCAACATTTATCAAGCCTCAGGCTAGGAAGAAATCACGTATTCTCAACTAGAAGGCAACTCATTTACCCTAGTGTTAGTGTTTTCTTAGAGAAAATTGAAATGTTTTCTGAGGCTGGAATATCTCAGACAAGCCCCATGGCTCCTGGCAGTTCTTATAGAGTCATTAGTTCATGACTGGGATAAAGCGCACTGTGGGCTATGGATAGGACGTTAACGATAGGCATTAACTACGGGCATGTTTGGCAGCAGACTGGTGTTTCACAGGCCCTGGGCTCAGCAGGAGCTGCAGAATGTTCCTCCAGACCATCATTTGTCATTCGTGAGTTCTGTTTAGGAGGTCCTGTTACTCACATGTTTCAATATCAGCAGAAGCCAGTTTTCCCGTGGTACCGAAGTGGATCCTGATGAATTTACCCTTGCAAATAAAAATGATGATGTTATATACAAAACTTGAAGCACTCAAGAAAAATGGGATGGAAATGATAATTCAAACATGCTTTCTTTGGCATGGAAGGGCTGAGAAGATTCCTCTGTGACCAGGAGACTTACAAAGCGAGAGGAGTTGTCATTCCTCACGGTCTTGGCGTTGCCAAAGGCCTCCAGTAGGGGGTTGGCACTGATGATTTGATCTTCAAGGGTCCCCTGCAAAGGCAAGAGTGGTCCTTACCTTCCGGGCTCCAGACTTCCTGAGAGCCCTGAGAGTCTGGAGTCTGATCCCAGGCCCACCTGCATTTTGCCAGAGGTAGCTTCCTCCTTCTTCTTCTCCCCAGTGACTGCAATTGTTGCAAAGTACTGGATGACACGCTTGGTGTTCACAGTCTTCCCTGCACCAGATTCTCCACTGTCAAACAGAGACCAAATATATGTGAGGAATTAAGCTGTGTGACAAATGAAAGAACCTCCATCATCAGCATTTACTACCTTACGCACCCATCTTCATATGTCTTTGTCAGTTTCTCCCCACTCTCCTCTTCAGCCTACTATAGCTCATATTATTTCTGTTGCTTTGCACTGACAAGAAGTAGGGGAATTCATTCACTAATCACCTAACACATATTTCTTGAAAATGTGCCAGTCTCTTTTCCAGGTGCTGTGGCCTGGGCTTGGGGTCCAAGAGGCAGCCACCCAACGGCTATGTGGAAAATGAAACCATAAAAAACAACAAATGTAGTTCCTTAGTTTCCTTAGACAAAAGACATGGCTCAAGTGAAGTCTTTGAAGGACTAGATGTTTCTCAAGTAGGCCTTAAACAGTGGGCCCCTGGGAATAATCCCAAACGGCTCAGTGTTCAGATGGCTGTATGTTGTTCATTGCCGTGTACCAGGTCCTGGCCATGCACAGAGAAAGGTTTTATAACCCCTACTCTTAAGAAAGTTCTGGGCAGCTTTTAAGACTGGACTAGCATATGACAAAGTTTAGGCCATTGTTATTTTACATTCTGATGCAGTCTAAACCCTACGATACAGCACAAACTATATCCCGTTCCAGGCTGAACAGCATTGCTTCAACACGAGCACTAACTACTTCGTTTTAGTTTGGCATTCTCCCCATGCAAATAAAATACCAATACATCCCAGAATAGTAATACATACGTGATTAAGATGGACTGATTCTCCCGATCTAGGAGAAAAACAGTGGACAATTAGCATCATACCAGTTACGCAAACAGAACTTGCTATAGGGAAACACCTGGGGCGTTGAATATAAATACTGTGTCATTTTAAATGGAGTTTTAAAATATATTACTGTAAAGTTATATATGATATTATTCTTAAACCTCTTAAGTTGAAGAGAAACATAAAATGTTGTTATATCTGAAATTCCTTAAGTCCTCATAGTTAAGTGTGTCCTTCCGGTTTAAAAGAAAGAGCAGTACTTTCCAAAGCCAGACATACTCTGTAGTTGTCCGTTGTGGATTTCAGAAGCATACTCTCTGCTGATTCATGCATAAAGGAGTGAAAAATGCAGAATATATGAAGGATTTGGACAGTAGTTTAATAGGTTTAAATAGTGCTTATCAAGCCAAAGTTGAGATTTGGTTTCTAAATGAGTCAGTTGGCCTCACAGAGTGGGGGGAAAAGAAAAAAGTATCGGAGGGCCATAGCCCGTAACCCTAACTCTGATCAGTCCTGTCAAAAGTGTGCTATCAGGGCAAAGAAAGATCAGGTGAGGAGAATGCCTCAGTCAGAACAAAAATGCTTTTAAGGGGGCAGAAAACAACTTCTGTTTCTGTGCATGTAGCCCCCAAACACCATCTTCATTCAATTCATTCATTCATTCATTCTGTGGGATGGTCTCTGATGATGTTAGAGGTGACAGTACTCCTGAAAGCATCAGAGTGGTAGTCAACAAGGAACTTGAGCACAGAAGGATTGAACGTGTATTTTTCATCTCCATTAAGACAATATGATTCCGTAGTTACTTAATCTTAACTATTGTTACTTAAATCTATACCATAAATCATGTATTTCCGTGGAGAATACAAGCAAGTTAAGTTTCAAAGGATAGAGCAGAGGCATGGCCTGGTAAAGTCAAGGAGGTGGGGTCTGGAGAGCCCGGTTTTAGTTCCAGCTCTGACAGCATGTATCTCTCTGTGCTTTAGTTAACTCTTCTGTACAACCAGGGGCTTAGATTAGATTATCTCTGAAGATCTGTTTAGCTTTAACACTGTGTGACTCTAGGACTCTAGGTGGTTAAATAATTTGTCTGAGAAACACTTGAGCTACTGACCCGTCAACATGAACTGGTAGGCGTTGTCAGAGATGGAGAAGATGTGGGGCGGGGCCTCCTGGCGCTTCTTGCCTCGGTAGGCTGTCACCACCTCTGCATTGTACACCGGCAGCCACTTGTAGGGGTTCACGGTGACGCAGAAGAGGCCTGAGTAAGTCTACACCAAAAATGAGAAAAAAAAAAAGGAGTATAATCATCTCATGGGGACCTTAATAATCTACTATTTTTCAAAACTGTTAACTAGCTGTCTGAGCAGAAGGCCATGAGAATGAACTCACGTAGATCATCCAGGCTGCATAACGCTCTTTGAGGTTGTACAGCACGGCGGGCTCGTGCAGGTGGGTCATCATGGCCATGTCCTCGATCTTGTCGTACTTGGGAGGGTTCATGGGGTAGACTTGATCATCTTTCACTGTCAGAGTCTGGCAAACGGGGACGATAACGGCTCAGGTGAGTCGAGAGACCAAACACAAGAACTGATAGGACGGGGCCAGCTCCAGGGGCTCCACTCACCGCTCCAGCCTCGGTCTTCACCGTCACTTTCCCTCCTTCTCTGCTCTGGATGGTCCCTTTCACAAAGGATTCCTTGGGCTCCGCCACAAAGACAGATGTCTTGGCATCAAAGGGCCTATTCTGGGCCTCGATGCGCTCCTTTTCAGACTTCCGAAGGAACGGAGCCGCCTCCCCGAAAATGGCCATTTCCTGGTCTGAACTCATGGCTGCTGAACTCAGCCCAGTCGAAGACCCTGCCTGGGAGGGAAAGAAAAGATATTCTGGAAATTCAGATATTCGATGTCACATTTAGAAAAAGAAAACATGGGACGCCTGGGTGGCTCAGTTGGTTAAGCAGCTGCCTTCGGCTCAGGTCATGATCCTAGCGTCCTGGGATCTAGTCCCACATCGGGCTCCTTGCTCGGCGGGGAGCCTGCTTCTCCCTCTGCCTGCCATTCTGTCTGCCTGTGCTCGCTCGCTCTCTCTCCCTCTCTGACAAATAAATAAAATCTAAAAAAAAAAAACAAAAGAAAACATTTTTGAATCTCTGAGGAATTGAGCACTTAGCGTCGTGTGGAGTATGACCTTCCTGGCTTGGCTGGAGATGAAACGTCAGCGTTCGTGTTCTGTGCCAAAGCTGATAGATACTTAATCGAGCATTTGCAAAGAGACTGTGGTTTCTGGCTCACCTGCCATATGATATTTTAGCTGCGTTCTCTGTTGTATTTGGTATGCATGTTAATTTCTATATGCGGGCTGTGATTAGCTTATACAGAGCACAAAGCGAAGATGATGGCAGGTGTCCTCCGGCTCTTATCATCGAGAGCTCTTATCTTCCAGATGGATTATAAGCACCCAGCAGGCAGGGAGCACCTCTCTTTCAAGGCATCCTTCGTGCCTCTTAGGATACATGCTGAATACAGGGAAGGGCTCAAAGCTGGCTTTGTGAATTAGAAGTACAATAAGTTTATGTTGTGAAAATTCCGGGAACTATTTTGTATGTAGTGAAAATCTTTTCATTATAGATTTGGATTCATTACAGATTTACAAAGGCTACCTGATAAAGGAAAGCAGAACTGTAGTGAGCTTTGCTTTACATTGTTTTGTTAAAAAAAAAAATTCTGGGGTGCCTGGGTGGCTCAGTGAGTTAAGCCTCTGCCCTTCAGCTCTGGTCATTGATCTCAGGGTCCTGGGATAGAGCCCCACATCGGGCTCTCTGCTCAGCGGGGAGCCTGCTTCCTCCTCTTTCTCTGCCTTCCTCTCTGCCTACTTGTGATCTCTCTATCAAATAAATAAAATCTTTAAAAAAATAAATTCTATTTTACATCAGTTTCTCTTGTTTCCACACTTCTGACAAATTTGCCTTTTTCAGTTGTCCTTAATATTTTTAAAAGACTTATAAAATATTATTATGTTTTCCTTATTACTGAGATTCTCATAAAAATTTCACAAAACTTTCTTTTCAGGATCCTTCCAACTCTAGCCACTTTAATATTCATTAATTCATTAATCCTGTCAATAATGATCAGAGGTAATTTGTTTTATAATAATAAAGATAGTCTTTCCAGAAAAACTCAAAGCATTTGTGTAAACTTTTCTACATTTTCCCAAACTGCGGTGATTTGGATAACACAAAAATGCTTTGTGTTGCTAAAAATGCTCATAATCATTTTTCAGAGCATTTAAATTTTTTTTTCCATTTTATAGACTGTGAAACAACATGAGGGTTGAAGCTACTCTCCCAAGGTGCAAAGACTCAAATCATCCAGACAGCATCTCAGATTTTGTTTTTGTTTTTTTGGGTTTTTTTTTTTTTTTACAGTATATGGTGCTGAGGAAAATCTATAATATAGGAAATTTATATTTTCTCTATAACTAACACCAAAATGTTGTATTGCATATCATAAGTTATTTAAAAGACAGACCGCAATGCTAAAAATAGAAAAAAAATTGTATATAAAACTCAAAATTCTAAGAAAGCATTTTCAGGTATTGCAGAGGATATAACTTAATGAGAACAAGTTTCTAAAATCTCTCTCAGAATTCTTCAAGGGAAACATGATCAACCATGAAATGAAAATGCTTTCATTTTATAGCCCCCTGAGCACGCTCCAACCACTGTGGAAGATTTCTTGCATCCTGTGAAGAATGAGGGAAAAAAAATCAGTACCTTACCTTAGAAATGCAACCTGGAAGTGGGTCAGAACTGTAAGAAAAAGAGCAAATTTCTTCTGGTTAGACTCTAACCATTCCCAATAATAGTGCAATTCTTAACGTGAGAATCAGGAAATGACTGGGAACACTCAAACAGCTAATTAAAATTGCTACGGAGTAAGTTGGAGCCTGTCTGGAAGGGCTGCCAGTTCTGGTGGGGGCCAGGACGTGGGGCAGGGCTGTGGGCTGCCAGAGAGCGCTTGCCGTCCTCAGACAGACCCTGTCCTCACACACACACTCACCTTGAAGCTTTATGAGGAAAGACAAGTCCTACCCATTCCAAGGGTCCTTTTATAGGGTCAAATATGGAAAACACGTAGCCTCCTCCTCTTTCTTAAAACGTATTTGGCAAAACATGTTTTTGGCAATGAAGGTCTCCAAGCGTAATTCCCCTCATATTAAAGATGTTTGGATATAATTAGAAGTATTTCCTCTCACATTTGGTTAAGTATATGAATCAATCTCCTATAAATAATTCGAGAGGTTAGCCACATGAAAGCAATCTGGCTGGAATAATGTAAGGTGGTGTTTCAGAGAGGGCTACGTTCCGCAGTCCCTGCGCTTTTGTTGCCACCGCTGTTCTGTTTTGCCCAGTCGCCTGCCTGTGAAGTCTTTTCAACTGCCCGCACAATTGCGGATACTAGACTGGGAAGGGAAGTTGCTGCTCTCTACCAGAGTGTCAGAAAAAGATTGTCCGTTCCTGTCCAGAAGGCATGAGGTTGGGGTGGGGGGGTGCAATGTACTGTGCTTTGTTGAGGGTGCTTGGAAATGTGATTTTAAAACTTGCTTCGTAAAGAGCAGCCACACACAGCTGCTTGTGTTGTCTCTGGTCAACTGCCCCCCCACCATTCATTGTCAGATCAGACCACTCCCACCTCAGGCATGCTCCCCACTGCTTTGCCTCGCCAAGCTTAGAGGTCCTGCTTCTCTCTGCTTTGAAAAAATGCAAGTTGCTTGTGAAATCCTGTTTCCTCTTTGAAACTCAGGACAGGAAGATATTAGAAAACAGGGCATTTCTCTGTCTAAATACACAGCACCCAGAGCTTCTCCATCAGCTGCCCGTGGCATACATTTCTCACTTTGCTTACCAATGACACCTGAATGTTGTTTTCTATTCTAACTTTTAATTTTTTTTTTTAAAGATTTTATTTGACACAGAGAGAGAGATCACAAGTAGGCGGAGAGGCAGGCAGAGAGAGAGAGAGAGGAGGAAGCAGGCTCCCCAATGAGTAGAGAGCCCGATGCGGGGCTCGATCCCAGGACCCTGGGATCACGACCTGAGCCGAAGGCAGAGGCTTTAACCCACGGAGCCACCCAGGTGCCCCCTAACTTTTAATTTTTTAAAAAATGATTTGTTTCATTATCTCTTGTCTTGGGTCTCTCTATGTCAGCTTTTTCTGTCTGCGATGGAGACTAAATTTTCCTCATATCCCGTTTTGCAACAGTTCCTGTATTATTATACATACATTTGAATCGATTTAATGAAATAGCCATAGGAAAGCAGATACCTGGAGATACTGGTTGCAGTGGTCATGTGATATATTACTGCCTGGAAGGGACTATCTAACCCATATTCCTCATTTGACTACGAAAACAGCTCCGGTCCAAAGAATAGAAGACAGTGATCACAAATCACACAGCAGCCTAGACCCCGGGCCCCTGATTAGCACACAGCCCAGTATGCTTGCTGCTACCAGTCTTCTACCTGGAGTAGATTAAAGCCATCAGGAAGGGTCTTCCGGAGACCTGCGTCTGATGGGATCCTTCCTAGCCAACCCTCAACCTGCTTTCTGACCACAGGTATAGCATTTTACTTTCTTACAATCCATGTTGTTTGCCCCCACCCAATCCATTTTCTTTAGCAGCCGTCTGAAAAACGGGGGCAACGCTTCTCGGGAACAGAGGACGTGTTCATAATGTTCTCAGTAGGATTTGATAGGCATTTCAAGATCTCCTTTTGACCTGTGCTGGATGGGCTTTGTAGTAAGCTTGTTATAAGATGTTGTTTTTTGCTTACAACTGCCAAGTTATGAGGCACTTGAGCATTTACAGTTATGTGGAACAAAGGGAAAGATGGGCCAAGCAGGGAGAAAGGTGATCCCACACTCTTCCTTGGGCCATTGGGACAATGGGAATTCTAAGTACCTGCTAAGCTGCTCCCACATGTCTGATGTAAGTCATTCTCCCACAGTGCAATTTAAACCCGTACACTTTTGCTTCTCATCAGGTGGGTAGTTACCACTTAGCTTTTCCTTTATGCTGTCCGGGAAGGTTATACCTTGGGCTATGTATCTCAGTGGAATCCAGAGTAGAAAATCTTGATCATTTAGGAAAACGTCTCCGAGTAATTCAGATTGCTACCATTTCTGGGTTTTGCACCACAGTGGTAACATAACACTGATGGTTATGTGTGTTGAATTTACACCCAAATTATCTATTTCAGGACTCGTATTTTATGGACACTCCTGATAATTTATTTTGGCCTTTCACATGATTATGAAGGCAGCCATCAAGTCTGGAAACATAGGCTAATAACTTATTGATAATACATTATAGTATATAGAAGAATATTCTCTTGGCCCCAGACTTGAGAGCCACCTTGTAGCTTTCATAGGGAGAAAGGTCACATCTCACTCATGTCATACCCATTACCTGGTGTGCATTCTCTGACTATATGGTGTATGGGTATTCATGATGAAAATCTTGATGGGTTATTAATAATACTTTGGATTTGTGTTCTTGATAATATCAAGGAGAAGTAATGGTATAGTGTAGTCTGAGTCCCCTATTTGAGAATATAGCCAGTGCCATTTTTTGCATAGACCTGGAAAATTAAGTACATGTCAGGGGGGATCAGCTTTCTAGGATCCTATTATATCCTGGTATTAAGGAACGGTTAGAAAGAAAAGGTGACTTCCAGATTTCTTCCAGAATGGGCTTCCCTGATAGGCGACAGTTTTATAGTTGTAAAGTATTCCTGTAGACTTAAAAGTGAATGCTGCTTCTTAGTG